GGGCCATAAATTAATAAAACGAGACGTAATAAATACCTATTCCTTATCGAGGAGGAATTAATAAGGATGGATTAGAAGCAAATAAAATTCTCCTACACTCCTACTCTAAATTGAAGTGAGTTGAGAAAACGTTCTAAAAATTTGATTTCCAATCTCCCAAGCAACCAAGAAAAAATGATAGGGAATTATTTTATTTTTGACCAAATAAATTGAACCCGTAAATAAATAAAAAGGCAGGCTAAAAATGATCAACAAGGGCCGAGAAAAAAAGGCTACTAATCGAGCTTGGGAAATTCTAAGAAGTCGAGAAGATAAATTCGACGACAAAGAAAACGGCTAAAATAATCGGCTCTCGCTAAACTGAAAAATTCTAATATCTCGGCTAATCTCTCTGAATAATTTGAAGGATAATGCTCTCCTATCCACGGTGGGCATATGTTAATATGTCCACCGCTTATGTGGCAATCAAACATTGGTGATATTAATATGTTAAAAAAAATACACCACCAATATGTTCATACCACATAAACGGTGGGCATATTAACATGTGTCCACCGTGGGTATGTGAACATTACTCATAATTTGAATAGACTAAAATGTCTAAATAAATTAATTATCTCAAAGGATTAAATTAGACACTCACGTCCAATTAATCCAAAAACTTGTCGAGCTCATATAATAAAATACAAATAAATACATAATATTATGAATAATTGAGATGTCAGCCAAAAATACCAAAAATTCTGTTGAGTCATCCATAACTTTATGTACTGACACACGTCCAATGTACATTTGTAAGACACGTGTCAATACATCATTTGTGAATAACTATAGATGGTTTCATAAGTCGAGTCATCTGATGGCTATATATCAAAACAGATTGTGAGACACAGTTAAATAATATTACTAATACTCATTAGAAGAGTCAACTACAATCAACTCATTTTTTTTTCTAATCAACTCATTTTAAAACTGAGTTTTAATTTATTGTTATTTAATTTATTAGATATCAAAACTAATATATTAAATTTTTACTTTTTTTTGATAAACATTTTAATTGAATATTGTACACTCTAATCAATATAAAATATATTTAAATAAAAGAATGTTTAGAATTTTAACGTTTATTTTTCTTTTTTTTTTTAAAAAAAATATTTCACCCTCCTTATCATTTGTTAAAAAAAAGTTATTTTTAAGATATGAAATGTAATTATAAGTGTTAAAAAGTATATTATTGTAATCTCTCGTAGACATGGCCACGGACCGGGCCCGGCCAACAACCAGCCCACAACCAGCCCGTAGATTGCCGATTCCAAGAACCGTCACCGTGGCTTTGCGAGTCGTTTCCGGGTCTGGTTTTTCTATTTTTGGTCCATGCGGACCGGATTGGGCCGATACAGAACCGATCCACGGGCCTGGCCCTTGGTTTTTGGCGGACCGGTCAAGAGGTTATCCATGGGAGGGTCGGTCCTGCCCGTTGACTGGCCATCTCTAATCTCTCGTGTATGAAGTTTTGACAATGCTAGCAGTTCATCAATGAAAAGTAAATAACTAAATATTGTACAATGCTGAAGTAATATAAGAAACGAACGTGAATCTCACTAAACAAATGTATAGGACACGAACTTCCATTCATCCCCCACTAAAAAAAATATTAAAATAACTACCAATCTACCATTCATCTCTTTCTTCTACTCCTATCCAGAGGATGTCCATGTAAAAAGTTCAAAATAAAAAAGAAAGTAATAATCAAACCCTATCTATAATCTTGTCCGACTGGCAAACCGGGTTTTCCTTCCGAATCGCGTCCTTGCCGGCTTTCTTGAAATCGAACCCGCACGGGTGAGCTTCAGGGTACCTATGCAACCTACAGTAAGTGGCCCCACACCTGCACTCGTACCCCAATAGCCCTACCCTTTTGTTACAGACTCCACATCTCTTTCTCTCCGCATGAACCGGAGTCGCCGGTTTATTCAAGATTTCGGTTTTCGTAACATCATCCGGTTCCCGCTTGTCAATAACCGCCGTCTCTGTTTTGGCCATCAAGTCTTTGAGGTGGGCCGTGTAGCACTTGGAACACAGGCCCTTGTTCTCCGCCGTGCCGTAGAATCCGCAGCCGCCGGAGCACGGGCGGGGGGCTTCAGGCTGTGGTGCCCGGCCGCCGCCCAAGGTCCCGCCAGCGTGATTTACGAAAGTATAACTCATTCTTTTCGCTACTTTTTTTATATGAATATTGACTTTTATTGGAGTTTTGATTTTTGTTTCTGCGAAATTATGGGGAAACTCGTATATTTATAGAGAGGATAATATTTGGTATCTGCAACTGGAATCGGACAAGGAAAGTAAAAATCGGTCGGTTATTAGCTCTAATTTTGGTAGAAATCGGGTCAGTTGAGGAGATGTGATAATATTATAATCTTTCTGGTAAGCCCGTTAATGTAACTTGTCCTCTACTCTAGACTTGGTTTTTGTTCTGGAATATTCTATAGGATTGCTATTTACCGTCCCCCTATTACTAGTCACCGCCCCCCTAATTACGAAAATACCCTTTACTATATTTTTGAATTCTCTCTCT